TACGTGTCTGTGTGTACGTGTCTGTGTGTACGTGTGTGTGTACCTGTGTGTGTGTCTGTGTCTGTGTTTGTGTCTGTGTGTGTGTCTGTGCCCTGGTGGTCCCCCTCTTTAAGAAGGGGGACCGCACAGACAGTAACAACTACAGGGGCATCTCACTCCTCAGTGTGCCGGAAAAGGTCCTGGCAAGGATTATTCAACATCGCCTTGCTAGGCACGCTGAGGAGAGGCTTGCAGAGCCCCAATGCGGTTTCAGGAAAGGGCGGTCCTGTACAGATGCCATATTTTCTGTCTGTCTGCTACAGCAGAGGTGTAGGGAATTCCAACAAGACCTACATCTCTGATTTATTGACCTGGTCAAGGCCTATGACACCATCAGTAGGCCTGGGCTCTGGGTTGTTCTTCGTGCTTTCGGAGTCCCTGACCCTCTGCTCACGATCATTAAGGACCTTCATGATGGTGAGCAGGCCCAGGTAAAACTACATGGCCGGGAGTCAGAGCCATTCCCTGTACACCTTGGGGTGCCACATGGATGTCCTCTGGCCCCCACATTATTTAACATTTATTTTGACCACGTGGTTCGTGAAGCCTTCAGCAGCTGTACCGGGGGAATTTCCATCTGGTACAGATATAATGGGAGGCTGATCGATGCCCGGGTGCGATCAAGGGATAGCTCCCTATTGGTCAACCACGTTATGTATGCCGATGATTTGGTAATAGCTGCTCATTCAGAAGAGGAGTTAGAGACGCTGCTGCTGAGACTGGAGCGTGCCACTAAGAGGTGGGGCCTTACCATCAGCCCCACCAAAACTAAGCACCTGCCTGGGTATTTTGTACCATCAGACACTCCACCCACACAACTCCCAATCGGTGATGGGGCAGTTGTGGAGAAAGTGTAGAGTTACCCATACCTGGGCAGTGTGCTTATGACCGGCTCCAGTTTAACAGCAGAGGTCTCACTCCGAATCAGTCGAGTGGCAATATCTTTTCATCAGTTTCGTAACGCTGTGTGGAAGCTACCTGGTCTGTCGCTCCGCACGAAGCTTCAGTTCTTCTCGGCCACGGTCATTCCCTCCCTTCTCTACGCTTGCGAAACGTGGACCCCCCTAATGGAGCATCTTTGTCAGTTAGAAACATTTAGGCTGGCATGCCTAGGATCCATCCTGGGTTTAACCAGGCTGGATTGTGTGAGGAGCTCACAAATCCTTGGGCAAAGTCCCATCGGTGAGCTCCTCCGGCAGGTAAGGCTGCATTGGCTTGGTCATGTAGCCCGCATGCCCAGCCACCGCATGCCGAAACAGCTTTTGTTCAGCCGGATCGAGGGGACTAAATGGGCGCGACATGGGCTAGAGAAGAGATGGAGTGATGTGGTACAGGAGGACGTGGAGCTGAGTGGACTTGCCGATGACTGGTACCAGCGGTGTCAAGATCGGCCTCTGTGGAGGAGGCTCGTGAAGGACGCTACTGGGCAGTTTGAGGTAGTCGCCCTCCAACAACAACGGAGGGCGGAGGAGCGACGCTCATAACAACGAGCGGAGCGCCGGGTGGCTAAAGCACAGCAAGTTGGCACAGTAGGGGGCACAGGTGGTGCATCAGCCAGTCATCTCGGTCATCTCAGTCAGTCGACCCGTGGCACCTGGGTCTGCCCCGTGACCTCCTGCCAGCGGGCGTTCGACACTTCACGTGATCTCAAGGTGCACATGGCCTGGCACAAGCATCGTGGTGATGTGACCGCAACTTAATGGCGGATGGCGGTTGTTGTTGTATAGTGTTGCCAGGTGAGTAGCAGTGTAGTGTATAGTGTTGCCAGGTATGTGGTAGTGTAGTGTATAGTGTAGTGTGTAGTGTATAGTGTAGTGTATTTGTTTACAGCTATGAGAGTGGTTCCGTCAGCTTCCCAACCGCTATGTATATAGATGTTGTGTATAGTTTATAGTGTAGTGTATAGTGTAGTGTAATGTGTTCACAGCAATGTATATAGATGTGTGTGTGTTCACAGCTATCTATATAGATGTGTGTGTATAGTGTAGTGTATAGTGTAGTGTGTTCACAGCAATGTATATAGATGTGTGTGTGTGTGTGACGTAGGTCCGCGGAGGGCAAACAGGCGGCCCACACGACGCTGGAGGCTTCCCGGGTGAAGGTGGCGGTGGCCCGGGGCAGTCGCCGAGCGTCGCTGGCGCCCCCGGGTTACCACTCGCTGGCGGGGGCCTCCTCTGACGGGAACGGCACCGGGTGAGTTTCGCGAGGAACGCTCACACCGCTCCTCATACATTACGGCGTTGACTATTATTATTCATAATCAAGGTTTTTGGGTTTAGATCGCATTATCCACTATACACTACACACTATACACTACACTATACACTACACTATACACTACACTACACACTATACACTACACTATACACTACACTACACACTATAAACTACACACTACACACAACACTACACACAACACTACACTATACACTACACACTACACTATACACTGCACTATACACTACACACTATACACTACACACTATACACTACACACTATACACTACACATTACACTATACACTACACTATACACTACACTATACACTACGCACTATACACTACACACTATACACTACACACTATACACTACACACTACACTACACACTATACACTACACTACACACTATACACTACACACTATACACTACACACTATACACTACACACTACACTATACACTACACTATACACTACACTATACATTGCACTATACATTGCACTATACACTATACACGCAATACAGCCCATACACATCCTCTACCATGGAGAGTGTATATTTATTGTTGTTAATGAAAACACTCCTCTTGAAATTCGACTCGTTTCCAGGGCGGCAGATCCCGGCGAGCCGGACCCCCCACGGCAGTTCCCGCAGCAGCAGCAGCGACGATGTCGCCGCGGGAATTGCGTCAGCTCCGTGACGAGTCGCGGGGACTTCAGACGGAGCTGAGGGCGACGCCGAGGCCCCGCCAGGAGCCCCCCGAGCAGAGCGCCGGCGGCGGCACCGGGCGCACGGCTTGGGTTTAGCGCGAGCGAGTGTCACCGTCGCGGCGACCGTCTGTGCTCTTTGTGAAGATTCGAGCGGCGGAGCGCGGGCACCCCGCTCACGCGGCGCACGCGACGGTGTGGGGGGCACGTCGGCACCCAGCCTCGTAGCTCGGGGGATTCGGCTCTGCTGGGTTTGTAACCCCCAGAGTACTGAGAGCAGAGGTCGCAAACGGGGTTTGATTCCTTACCCGATACCCGTACCCGGCCGGTTATCGGGTAGGGTACGGGTACCCGATTGCGACCTCTGAGATGAAGCCACGTTGCAGGCGCGGGTGGGTTGATTCTAGGAACTTGAATTGTGAGAAGAGACAAGACGTTGGGAAATGAGTGACAAACGGTGACTCACCAGTGACTCACGGCCTAACCGTACCCGGCCGCACCAGGGTCGCAAACGGCTACCCGTACCCGGCCGGGTACGGGTAGCCGGGTATCGGGTAGGGTACGGCAATCGGGTACCCGGTTTCGACCTCTGATTGAGAGTTCAATCTCCTTAAAACGCGTTTTTTGTGGCATCGTGGCTTTCGTATTGGGCCAACGTATAAATGCACGAATCGGGGGAGATTTTGATTTAAAGAAACCCACATTTTTTTGTTTCTTTAGCTAACTTCTTAATTTGCGTGAGTTTCTGTTTTCATTTTTTCGTTAAATTTCCTCACTCCATCGGTGGATCGGAGGGCCTGAGTTTAGCGGGCGCACGTCGTTATTATACCATAACAGCCGGCTCCCATTTATATTGACAAAACAAACGGCATTTAAGATTTTGGCTATGCGGTTTGTGAACAGCTGTGGCCAAATCTGAACATCAGGTGACACGGTGTTGTATATATTGTTTTTCTGAAAAGTATAAAATAAAATTGGGAAATCATGTTTAGATATCTCGCGGATAAGAAGAGTCACGCAGTATTCTCATCCTCTTATTGGCGAGGTTATCTGTCATTTTGCTCCTTTTAGCTGGAAGGTAAAGATTCGCAGATGGCCCCACAGATAATAAGATCAGCTCTATTGGTGTTCCCCCGTGTCACAGCGGATCACAGCAGTTCTGCATGAATTTTGCGCAGTGTTTGAAAGCTATCATTCAACCATTATGCACCAGATATACACAAAAAAACTGCGTTTAAACGATCTCCCTTGTACAGATAAAAAAACATACGCCCACAACATCCCATTACCACACATCAACGCACATGCAGTCGGTTCTCATCAGGCGCACGCCAAGACTGGGAGGCAGCAAGTTTTAATCTCTCACACAACCAACACTATTCAACGTTCCCAGGTGAACCAAGCACATTGTGAGCGACTGCGCTCATCGTGGGCTAACCACGTAAGGTGGTGGCCGCCGGCCCTAACCACCTCGCCGCTTGAGCGGAACCCCTTCGCTACGGCGGGACGGGAACAGGCGACGCGTACGGAGGCTGAAAAGCGAAGATGGAAGTGGACGACTTCTTTCCCGCGGTTGAAGAACCACGGGGGGACTCCGCACCCCCCCCCTCCCCCCCCGTCAGTCACACTCTGGGTCCACATCACGTGGCCATCCCCTTCTGGGCCACGTGCTCCGTCACATCTGGAATGTGCCCTCTAGTGAGCCCTTGTGTATAGTACACCCACTGTCGCCATAGAACAGCCCATTTATACTACAGGTGCAGTGCCATGAGAGGGGCTACTGTGCCAGCCCAAGAGGGGAGGGGCTGCTGGGGGCTCTGGGACCCTAGACAGATAAGCCCCTTGGCGGCAGGCGCTAGGATACCAGGCACCCCAGACGCTTAAGCCCCTTGGTGCCACCAACGGGGGGGCTGTGTGCTCTGTGGGATACCTGGGGGCGCACACAGCCCCACCCCTCGTTGGGCACGAGGCATAAAAGGGCAGCTCCCTGGCCGATCAGGGCCAGTCGCAGCACAAGACCCGCCAGCCAGCCAGCTTAGGACCCTGGACCCCCTTGTCCCGCTTGTCCTTGTAAGGGCGAGTTCCGAGGAAGCCAGAGTCCAGACCCGCACCTTGGCTGGGTCGGGTCAATTAGCCTCCCCTAGGGTAATTGTTCCCATAGCCACCGGTCGAACGACATCAACATCTTTAACAACAAAATCAACATCCTCAACAACATCATCAAAATCAATAACAACATCATAAACATCAACGACAAAATCAACAACAGCACCATCGACATCTTCATCAACATCAACAAGCGAAGTTAAGAAGAGCATATTCTTTGGGGTCTGTCGGCAACATCACGTGTGTAGGTTCAAAGCAAATAACAAAAACCAGCGACGTTTCGATCGCAACACTGATGACGACCGCTTGTGTTGCCATCGAAACGTCGTAGTTTTTTGTTAATTTCTTGAACCTACCCACGCCACCTGACCGACAGACCCATAAGTCCCTGCAAGCCACGAAAGCTTCAAGTCAAGATTCAAGAGGAGAACGCCAGCGTCCGCCGAGCGGACTGCTACTACCGCCACTACCCCTACTACTGCTTCTGCTACTGCTGCTTCTGCTACTACAGCTGCGACTGGCGCCACTGCTGCCACAGCTGCCACTGCTGGCACAGCTGCCACTGGTGCCACAGCGAGTGCACGTGCTGCTGCTGCTGCTGCCGGCGCCGCTGCTGCTGCTCGTGGCATCTCGGTGACAGGAAGTGCTCCCTGTCCCAGCCGCCACACTTCTTGTAGCTGGCGCGGAGGTCGTGATGAGCCCAGAGGACGGTGAGCAAAGCCCTCGCTGCAAAGAGGTCCTGGCTGCACGCCGTCCTGACACAGCACCAACACACGCATAAAGACAAAGATCCCCCGTGTAGCCTGTAACAGACTGTAGGGGCGAGTGCTGTTAGCGAGCACCTGTGAAGGCCGGAACGGCACACGAGGGGGTGGGAGGCTGAGTCGACCTAGACACACACAGATACACACAGACACAAAGAAAGACAAAGATCTTTGTGTGCGTGGTGAGTGTGGGTGGTGAGTGTGGGTGGTGAGAGTGGCGAGCGTGGTGAGTGTGGATAGTGAGGGTGGGTGGTGAGTGTGGATGGTGAGAGTGGCGAGCGTGGTGAGTGTGGGTGGTGAGAGTAGCGAGCGTGGTGAGTGTGGGTGGTGAGTGTGCCTGGTGAGTGGTGGTGAGTGTGGATAGTGAGGGTGGGTGGTGAGGGTGGGTGGTGAGTGTGAGTGGTGAGCTTGGAGTGTGTGGATAGTGAGGGTGGGTGGTGAGCGTGGTGAGTGTGGGTGGTGAGTGAGCGTGGGTGGTGAGTGTGCGTGGTGAGCGTGGGTGGTGAGTGTGGGTGGTGAGAGTGGTGAGTGTGGATAGTGAGGGTGGGTGGTGAGGGTGGGTGGTGAGGGTGGGTGGTGAGTGTGGGTGGTGAGAGTAGCGAGCGTGGTGAGTGTGGGTGGTGAGTGTGCCTGGTGAGTGGTGGTGAGTGTGGATAGTGAGGGTGGGTGGTGAGTGTGAGTGGTGAGCTTGGAGTGTGTGGATAGTGAGGGTGGGTGGTGAGCGTGGTGAGTGTGGGTGGTGAGTGTGCGTGGTGAGTGTGCGTGGTGAGCGTGGGTGGTGAGTGTGCGTGGTGAGCGTGGGTGGTGAGTGTGGGTGGTGAGTGTGCGTGGTGAGCGTGGGTGGTGAGTGTGGGTGGTGAGTGTGGGTGGTGAGCGTGGGTGGTTGAGCGTGGTTGGTGAGTGTGCGTGGTGAGTGTGGGTGGTGAGCGTGGTGAGTGTGGGTGGTGAGCGTGCGTGGTGAGTGTGGGTGGTGAGCGTGCGTGGTGAGTGTGGGTGGTGAGCGTGCGTGGTGAGTGTGGGTGGTGAGCGTGGTGAGTGTGGCTGGTGAGTGTGGCTGGTGAGCGTGCGTGGTGAGTGTGGCTGGTGAGTGTGGGTGGTGAGCGTGATTGGTGAGTGTGCGTGGTGAGTGTGGGTGGTGAGTGTGGGTGGTGAGCGTGGTTGGTGAGTGTGCTTGGTGAGTGTGGGTGGTGAGCGTGGTGAGTGTGGGTGGTGAGCGTGCGTGGTGAGCGTGGCTGGTGAGTGTGGGTGGTGAGCGTGGTTGGTGAGTGTGCGTGGTGAGTGTGGGTGGTGAGCGTGCGTGGTGAGTGTGGGTGGTGAGTGTGCGTGGTGAGCGTGGGTGGTGAGTGTGGGTGGTGAGTGTGGGTGGTGAGCGTGGGTGGTTGAGCGTGGTTGGTGAGTGTGCGTGGTGTGGGTGGTGAGCGTGGTGAGTGTGGGTGGTGAGCGTGCGTGGTGAGTGTGGGTGGTGAGCGTGGTGAGTGTGGCTGGTGAGTGTGGCTGGTGAGCGTGCGTGGTGAGTGTGGCTGGTGAGTGTGGGTGGTGAGCGTGGTTGGTGAGTGTGCGTGGTGAGTGTGGGTGGTGAGCGTGGTGAGTGTGGGTGGTGAGCGTGCGTGGTGAGCGTGGCTGGTGAGTGTGGGTGGTGAGCGTGGTTGGTGAGTGTGGGTGGTGAGCGTGCGTGGTGAGTGTGGGTGGTGAGCGTGGTGAGTGTGGCTGGTGAGTGTGGGTGGTTGAGCGTGGTTGGTGAGTGTGCGTTGGTGAGTGTGGGTGGTGAGCGTGGTGAGTGTGGCTGGTGAGTGTGGCTGGTAAGCGTGCGTGGTGAGTGTGGCTGGTGAGTGTGGGTGGTGAGCGTGGGTGGTGAGCGTGGGTGGTGAGTGTGCGTGGTGAGTGTGGGTGGTGAGTGTGCGTGGTGAGCGTGGGTGGTGAGTGTGCGTGGTTGAGCGTGGATCGTACCCCGACCCCCGCACCGCTCACCGGCTGGTGCGGATGGCCACGATGCGCCTGATGCCACCGCCGCGATGCAGCCGCTGAGCGTTGGCGACGCTGCCGGAAACCAGCGCCGTCAGCGCCCAGAGCACTGCCGACAGCCCCTCCTCGCCCAGCCGCGAGGCCTCGCCACCATCGCCACCATCGCCACCATCGCCACCGCCGCCACCGCTGCCTGCCTCGGCAGCGTCAGGCAGCATCGCGGTGAGGATCCTCACGCCATTGTGCAGCCCTGGGGAGCGCGCAGAGACGGTGGTGAGCGGACTCCATCGCCACTTCATCGCCACCTCCATCGCCACTTCATCACCACTATCACCACCACGATCACCACCATCACCACTATCACCATCACCACTATCACCATCACCACCATCACCACCACCATCACCACCACCACCACCTCCCTCCCTCCCACCCCCCCGCATCTCACCGATGAGGCGCTGGTTGTTGGGGTCATTGCGAGCGAGGACCCGCAGAGCGTGCACCGAGGTGTACGCCAGCAGACGGCGCTCGTCGTCGTCACTACTCCTGCTCCTCCCGCTCCGCAGCTGCTCCAGGAGGCAGGGCAGCCCCCCGTTGTGAGCCACGGCCGTGCGGGACAACGCCGACCACTGCTCACGACGGCGCACGGCAACGTAACACCACCACCACGCAGACAGTCAAACAGTGGGCGTTGCTAGGGAGCGTTGCTAGGGAGCGTTGCTAGGGAGCATTGCAATAGAGCGTTGATAGAGAGCGTTGCTATAGAGCGGTGCTAGCGAGCGTTGCTAGCGAGCGTTGCTAGGGAGCGTTGCTATAGAGCGGTGCTGGGGAGCGTTGATAGAGAGCATTGCTAGGGAGCGTTGCTAGAGAGCGTTGCTATAGAGCGGTGCTGGGGAGCGTTGCTAGGGAGCGTTGCTAGCGAGCGTTGCTAGAGAGCGTTGCTATAGAGCGGTGCTAGCGAGCGTTGCTATAGAGCGTTGCTAGCGAGCGTTGCTAGGGAACGTTGCTATAGAGCGGTGCTGGGGAGCGTTGCTAGGGAGCGTTGCTAGGGAGCGTCACCTGGGTGTCTCCGCTGGCCAGCGTGTAGATGGAGCGTGTTGCCGCTTGCAGCACGAGCACGTTGTGCGACTGCTGCAGCAGCGACACGTAGCAGCTGACTGTGTCGGCCTGGAACAGCAGCTCCCAGCCTGCAGGCGTAGGCCTCGTTACGGCGCGGAGCAAGGCGGACAGAAACACGGTGTGTCTACACACACACACGGTGTGTCTACACACACACGGTGTGTCTACACACACACGGTGTGTCTACACACACACACGGTGTGTCTACACACACACACGGTGTGTCTACACACACACGGTGTGTCTACACACATACACGGTGTGTCTACACACACACACGGTGTCTACACACACACACGGTGTGTCTACACACACACGGTGTGTCTACACACACACACGGTGTGTCTACACACACACACGGGTGTCTACACACACACACGGTGTGTCTGTCTACACACACGGTGTGTGTGTAGACACACACACACGGTGTGTGTGTAGACACACACACACGGTGTGTCTACACACACACGGTGTGTCTACACACACACGGTGTGTCTACACACACACACGGTGTGTCTACACACACACACACGGTGTGTCTACACACACACACGGTGTGTCTACACACACACACGGTGTGTCTACACACACACACGGGGTGTCTACACACACACGGTGTGTCTACACACACACGGTGTGTCTACACACACACACGGTGTCTACACACACACACGGTGTCTACACACACACACGGTGTGTCTACACACACACACGGGTGTCTACACACACACACGGTGTGTCTACACACACACACGGTGTGTCTACACACACACGGTGTGTCTACACACACACGGTGTGTCTACACACACACACGGTGTCTACACACACACACGGTGTGTCTACACACACACACGGTGTGTCTACACACACACACACTGTGTCTACACACACACACGGTGTGTCTACACACACACACGGTGTGTCTACACACACACACGGTGTGTCTACACACACACACGGTGTGTCTACACACACACATGGTGTGTCTACACACACACACGGTGTGTCTACACACACACACGGTGTGTCTACACACACGGTGTGTCTACACACACGGTGTGTCCACACACACGGTGTGTCCACACACACGGTGTGTCCACACACACGGTGTGTCTACACACACACACGGTGTGTCTACACACACACACGGTGTGTCTACACACACACACGGTGTGTCTACACACACACACGGTGTCTCTACACACACACACGGTGTCTACACATACACACGCACATCGTACACTACACTATCACACACTGCACTATACACTACATTATACACTACACTACACTATACACTACACTATCACACACTGCACTATACACTACACTATCACACACTACACTATACACTACACTGTACACTACACTATACACTACACTATACATACACTACACTATACACTACACTATACACTATACCATACACTACACTGTACACTACACTATACACACAGGGAAGGGGGGGAGGGAGGGGTAGTGAGGGGGGGAGGAATGAGGGGGGGAGTGAGGGGGATGGAGTGAGGGGGATGGGAGTGAGGGGAGGGAGTGAGGGGGGTGGAGTGAGGGGGATGGAGTGAGGGGGATGGAGTGAGGGGGATGGAGTGAGGGGGATGGAGTGAGGGGGGTGGAGTGAGGGGGATGGAGTGAGGGGGGAGGGAGTGAGGGGAGGGAGTGAGAGGGAGCGAGTGAGGGGGGAGGGAGTGAGGGGAGGGAGTGAGGGGGTCACAGTGTCCACCTGTCTTCAGGGTGGAGCTGTGGCTGGCAGCTCCCCCCCAGCTGCCCCCCCCCAGCCTTGAGTCTCCGCAGTGCGGCACGTTGTGCAGCATGTGGACGCTCAGCTGGTGCAGGACACAGACTGCATCCTCCACCGCCTGCGGATACGGAGGCAGACGCAACCAAAGCTCCCCCGCGTAGCCGTGACGGGTCGTAGGGGCGAGTGTTGTTAGTTGCGCAAGAGGGGGTGGCACCACGTCCGACCGCCTTTGTCTCCCCAGTGGTGATGTTTACACACCGCACCAGGTACTCATTTGAGGCTGAGTCGACCTAGGGGAGGCCCGGGACCGGTTCAGATAATCGTCACTGGTGTTGGCCGTGAGCAGGAATCGAACCCGGGTCGCCGGATTCATAGCGCAGCGCGCTAACCGCTACACTACCGCTCTCCAGGCAGACACACACACGCACATACACGCACGCACATACATACACACACATACATACACACGCACACGCACATACACGCACGCACATACACGAACATACACACACACACATACACACACACATATATACATACATACACACATACACACACACACACATACCCACACATGCACATACACACACACACATACACACACGCACACATACATACACACACACGCATACATACATACACACGCACACACACACATGCACATACATACACACACACATACACACACGCAGATACATACACACACACGCACGCATACATACACGCACACACACACGCAGACACACGCACATACATACACACACGCACGCATACATACATGCACACACACACGCAGGTATACACACACACGCAGATACACACACACGCATATCACCATCATCATCACCATCATCACCATCATCATCACCAGTACAGCTATTGAAGGCTTCACAAACTACGCGGCCGAAATAGATGTTAAATAATGCGGGAGCCAGAGGACATCCCTGTCCACACCCCGGCCACGTAGTTTTACCCGGGCCCGCTCACCATCATGAAGGTCCTTAATGATCGTGAGCAAAGGGTCAGGGACTCCGAAAGCACGAAGAACAACCCAGAGCCCAGGCCTACTGATGATATCATAGGCCTTGACCAGGTCAATAAAGCAGAGATGTAGGTCTTGTTGGAATTTCCTACACCTCTGCTGTAGCAGACGGACAGAAAATATGGCATCTGTGCAGGACCGTCCTTTCCTGAAACTGCATTGGGGCTCCGCAAGCCTCTCCTCAGCGTGCCTAGCAAGGCGATGTTGAATAATCCTTGCCAGGACCTTTCCCGGCACACTGAGGAGTGAGATGCCCCTGTAGTTGTTAGTCTGTGCAGGGTCGCCCTTCTTCAAGAGGGGGACTACCAGGGCATCCTTCCAATCCTGCGGAACCGTCCAGTAGTCCAGACTGTTGTTATGATGTCATATAGGGCAGTCTGTGCACAAACGCCACCCTCCCTCAGCATTTCTCTTGAGAGATCATCTCTGCCCGGTGCCTTTCCTGGTCTCAGGCTCTGGATCGCTTTGAGTACTTCCTTAGATGGCAGCTCAGCCAGCCACTTACAGGGGGTGACTTCCTCTTCAAACAATGAGGCACCGCAGCCTCAGCAGGGCTATCCTCTCTTTGTCCCACAATGTTTTGCAGGCTGGGGGAGTTCCCCTCCCCCAAGACCTCACAGAAATGCTCAGCAAATCTGCAAACCTGTTCCTAGGGGTCGGAGATTGGATCACCGTTCTTTCCCTTAATGATGGTAATAGGTGTGGTGCTGCAGGTCACTTTTTTGATGGAATTAAACAGCGATTTGTGATCGCGGGCCATTGAGGCAGACTCCATCTCTTCAGGAACCTGACGCCACCAACCATCCTTGCAGCGCCTCACGGCTCTCCGAACCTCCGAGCGAAGGCTGCGGTAAACCGCCTCATTCTCTGATGTGGGATACTGAAGCCGATGAGAGTGGGCCTGTCGCCTTTTTTCAGCCAGCCTAAACACCTCCTCTGTCAGCCAGGGTCTCTGGGGAGGTCTGGACCGTGTACCCAAAGCAGCCATTGCAGCTGCATGAGCCACAGTCCTAAACCTCGCCCATTTACCCTCGACATGAGGAGTGGGGGACAATGCCAACCCCAGCCGCAAGCGATGATGAAATTCTCGCTTGCAACTTTCATCAGCTGAGACCAGGCCACCTTAGGTTGGAATGGGGTCCTGGGTGTACACCCACCACCGGAGTGGAAGAATGGCAGGCGCATCTTGCAGATGACAAGTCGATGGTCAGAGGGCAGATCAGCTCCACGGTAGATCCTGGTGTCAAGGACATGGGCCCGCATCCGCTGATCCGTCACTATGTAGTCCAGCAGATGTTCTTGCTTGTGTAGTGACTGCGATTGTCACTGTGTGGTGCCGGGCTTACGAAGCCACGGCGGATGATGTGTTGGCATTACGTGCAGCCCGCTCACTGGGCGTAGTACCGCCAGCCCTAGCGGGGCCTGGGTGAGCGCTGGTCAGCGTGGAGGCACCACGTACGGCGTGCGGTGCGGGCTCCCGGCGAGGGAGCGAGAGGGAGCGTCAGCCAGCCAGGGTTACGTTGGGGCACGATGCGCCGGTTGACCTGCCGACACGTCACCGGATGATATTGGAGGGGGCCACCGGTGGACGGGGGGCCGCTGGGCGGTCACATGGTCTACAAGAGCCCTCGGGAGCCTTCGGGAAAGAGCCGGAGAGATCTAGAAGGTGGGCGGGGCGAGGGGTTGTAGATCTGAAGTTTTCGCGACTGCGATGATTCATACTCTTTGGTGTTTTCGGTAAAGTCACGTAGGTGAAAAATAAAATAAAATTAAAACTAAATTAAATCACGACGTTTCGGACGCCACGCAAGTGTCTGTCAACGGGCGGGAAAGCGTGGCCTGCTGCTGATGCAGACCAAAGAGTGAGGGGCTCGGGGTTCTTCGTGTTGCTGGCGATGAAGATCCGCATCGGGTTGAAGAAGCCTCTAGTCACGCGGTCAACACCCAAGTGTAGCTTGTGTTGTGTCGCTGAAGAGTGTTGCTCCCAAGACAACGTCTGCGACCGAGTTGGACTCGACACACTTGGACCCGCCGCCGGGTTCATAGAGCAGCGTAGCGCTAACCGCTACACCACCGCTACCCATCGCGCTGTGGGGGTCACCTTGGTCTCGATGTTGCGTCCTCTCAGTGCCGAGCGGACGAAGCGCAGCACGCAGTCCACCAGCCCCTCGCCCTTCCACGTGCTCAGCCGTCCGTCCGGATCTGCCGAGCTCAACTCCCTGCAATGTCACCGCCGTGACGTGAACCCCCGACGTTCCCCGTCGCGTCCACCGCGTGACGTCGCGTCAACCGCGGCGTTCCCCGTCGCGTCCACCACGAAATCACCGCCCCTTACCGTAGGCACGTCAAGGCGTTGCAGAACGCCGCGGAAGGCGAGGCGGACGAGCCGGGTGGGGAGGTTGAGGCGGGCGAGTCTCCAAAGTTGCTCCTCCAGCCGCTCTCTGGCACCAGCACGTGCTCCACCAGCGCCGGGAGGCAAAGCTCCACCAGCGCAGCCCTCAGAGACTCGTGGCGCAACAGGTTCCACAGCGTGCCTGGGGTAGGGGTGGCGAGGGTGGGTGGTGAGCGTGGGTGGTGAGTGTGGGTGGTGAATGTGGGTGGTGAGTGTGGGTGGTGAGTGTGGATGGTGAGCGTGGGTGGTGAGCGTGGGTGGTGAGTGTGGGTGGTGAGTGTGGGTGGCGAGGGTGGGTGGTGAACGTGGATGGTGAGCGTGGGTGGTGAGCGTGGGTGGTGAGCGTGGGTGGTGAGCGTGGGTGGTGAGTGTGGGTGGTGGTGAGTGTGGGTGGTGAGTGTGGGTGGTGAGTGTGGGTGGCGAGGGTGGGTGGTGAGCGTGGGTGGTGAGTGTGGGTGGCGAGGGTGGGTGGCGAGTGTGGGTGGTGAGCGTGGGTGGTGAGCGTGGGTGGTGAGCGTGGGTGGTGAGTGTGGGTGGCGAGGGTGGGTGGTGAGCGTGGGTGGTGAGCGTGGATGGTGAGTGTGGGTGGTGAGTGTGGGTGGTGAGCGTGGGTGGTGAGCGTGGATGGTGAGTGTGGGTGGTGAGTGTGGATGGTGAGCGTGGGTGGTGAGCGTGGGTGGTGAGCGTGGGTGGTGAGCGTGGGTGGTGAGCGTGGGTGGTGAGCGTGGGTGGTGAGCGTGGGTGGTGAGCGTGGGTGGTGAGCGTGGGTGGTGAGTGTGGGTGGTGAGCGTGGGTGGTGAGCGTGGGTGGTGAGCGTGGGTGGTGAGTGTGGGTGGTGAGTGTGGGTGGTGTGGATGGTGAGTGTGGGTGGTGAGTGTGGGTGGTGAGTGTGGGTGGTGAGTGTGGGTGGTGGTGAGTGTGGGTAGTGAGTGTGGGTGGTGGTGAGTGTGGATGGTGAGTGTGGGTGGTGGTGAGTGTGGGTGGTGAGTGTGGGTGGTGAGTGTGGGTGGTGGTGAGTGTGGGTGGTGAGTGTGGGTGGGTTGCTACTGGTGATCTTCTCCAGGGCTTGAGGGTTGTGAGTGCGTCCCAGCAGGCTGGCTAAGGCCGCGAGGCTTCCATTGTTGCTAAATGCCAATGCACCAGCATGGCTGGAGCTGAGGACTTGCAACATCTCGCATGCAGACGCAAGCACCTGTAGGGGCACGGGGAGGTGAGGAGATGCACAAACAACCGCCATTCGCCAGACCATGTGCACCTTGAGGCCACGTGAAGTGTCAAACGCCCACTGGCAGGAGGTCAAGGGGCAAACCCAGGTGCCACGGGTCAACTGAGATGACCGAGATGACTGGCTGATGCACCACCTGTGCCCCCTACTGTGCCAACTTGCTGTGCTTTAGCCACCCGGCGCTCCGCTCGTTGTTGTGAGCGTCGCTCCTCCGCCCTCCGTTGTTGTTGGAGGGCGACTGCCTCACAGACAAAAATCCCCCGTGTAGCCTTAACAGACTGTAGGGGCAAGTGTTGTTAGCGAGTAGCACCTGTAAAGGCCGGCACGGCACACGAGGGGGTCGGTGGCCAACACCACGCCCTTTGTCGCCCTAGCAGCGATGTTTACACATTTGAGGCTGAGTCGACCTACACACACACAGACACATATCCTTGTCCCCCCGTGCGCCCCGCCCGTGGTCTTACATGGTCGTCCTCCTCACACTCAACGAGCAGCGTGAATATTGAGCGCAGCTTCCCAGCCGCCCACACCACCGCCACCGCCAACTTGTCAGGTTGCTGGCAATCACCGCCACCAACGGCAACACCACAACCACCACCGCCACCACCGCCACCACCGCCAACAACACCATCACCACCACCACCGCCACCACCGCCAACACCACCGCCACCACCGCCACCACCGCCACCGCCAACACCACAACCACCACCGCCAACACCACCGCCACCACCGCCACCACCGCCACCGCCAACACCGCCACCACCACCGCCAATACCACCAACACCGCCACCTCCCCCACCCTCCCCCACCGAGAAGCCTCCTCTCTCTCTCTCTGCCGCCCCCCTCCGGCGGTGTTGGCAGCGGCGGTGGTGGCGGTGCTGGTGGTGAAGAAGCAGCCTCCGAGAGCGCCCACGAAGCCGGACCACCAGCGGCGCGGCAGGGAGCCAAGCGGTGGTGCGGCGGCAGCAGGGGCAGCAGGAGCAGCAGGGACAGCAGGGGCAGCAGCAGCAGGGGCAGCAGCAGCAGCAGGGGCAGCAGCAGCAGCAGGGGCAGCAGCAGGGGCAGCAGCAGGGGCAGCAGCAGCAGGGGCAGCAGCAGGGGCAGCAGCAGCAGGGGCAGCAGCAGGGGCAGGGCGTGGAGCGTCAGACAGGAGGGCCGTGGTGGCCATGGTGGTGACAAAGTCCTTCGGCCTGGGAGGGGGGGAGTGGGGGAGAGGTGAGCGTGTGTGTGTGTAGACATTACACACAGACACACATTACCACAACAGCAACCGCCATTCGCCACTAAGTGGCGGTGACGTCACCACGACGCTTGTGCCAGGCCACGTGCACCTTGAGGCCACGTGAAGTGTCGAACGCCCGCTGGCAGGAGGTCACGTGGCAGACCCAGCAGGTGCCACGGGTCGACTGACCGAGATGACCGAGATGACTGGCTGATGCACCACCTGTGCCCCCTACTGTACCAACTTGCTGTGCTTTAGCCACCCGGTGCTCCGCTCGTTGTGAGCGTCGCTCCTCCGCCCTCCGTTGTTGTTGTAGGGCGACTGCCTCCAACTGCCCAGTAGCGTCCTTCACGAGCCTCCTCCACAGAGGCCGATCTTGACACCGCTGGTACCAGTCATCGGCAAGTCCACTCAGCTCCACGTCCTCCTGTACCACATCACTCCATCTCTTCTCCAGCCCGTGCCGCGCCCGTCCAGCCCTCTCGATCCGGCCGAACAAAAGCTGTTTAGGCATGCGGTGGCTGGGCATGTGGGCTACATGACCCAGCCACCGCAGCCTTGCCTGCCGGAGGAGCTCACCAAAGGGACTTTGCCCAGATCTTTCAAGGATTTGTGAGCTCCTCACACAATGCAGCCTCGTTAAACCCAACAACCACCACAACAACCACCACCACACAAACAACAACCACCACAACAACAACCACCACCACACAAACAACAACCATCACAACAACCACCACCACACAAACAACAACCACAACAACCACCACCACACAAACAACCATCACCACAACAACCACCACAACAACAACCACCACACAAACAACCACCACCACAACAACAACCACCACACAAACAACCACCACCACAATAACCACTACCACCACACAAACAACCACCACCACAATAACCACTACCACCACACAAACAACAACCACCACACAAACAACCACCACAACAACCACCAAACAACCACAACAACCACCACCACAACAACCACCACCACCACCACAACCACCACCACCACTACAACCACAACCACAACAACCTCCAACCTGGGTGCCGCCATCTTGAACTTGGCAATGGTCTCCGGATTATGACGTCACCGGGAATCGTTTGTTCGATTCTCATCGATTCTAATCGTTGGTTTGCGCGTCTCTCTCTGCTAATCGATTCCCATCGATTATAATAATCGTTTTGCGTGTCTCCCTCTCTTTGATGATCGATTATCATCGATTACATTATCCGTTCCGTTGGCTCCGTGTGGCTATGAGATGTTGACCACCTCGCCTGGTCTACAGGAGGTCGTGGGATCGATTTGAGGCTGAGTCGACCTAGGGGAGGCCCAGAGCCAGTTCAGATAATCGTCACCGGTGTTGGCCGTGAGCGGGAATCGAACCCGGGTCGCTAGGGTCGTAGTGCAGCGTAGCGCTAACCACTGCACCACCGCTCCCCACAATAAAGACACGCGCACACACACAGACACACACAGACACGCGCGCACACACACAGACACACACACATGCACACACGCACACACACACGCGCACACACAGACACACACACAGAGACACACAGACACACACACACAGACACACACACACGCACACACACACGCGCACACACAGACACACACGCACACACACACGCGCACACACAGACACACACACACAGAGACACACAGACACACACACACACGCACACACGCACACACGTACACACGTACAGACACACACAGACACACATGCACTCACGCGCACACACAGACACACACACAGAGACGCACACAGACACGCGCGCACACACACAGACACGCGCGCACACACACACACAGAGAGACACACAGACACACACACGCGCACACACACGCACACACGTACAGACACACACACACAGACACACACGTACACACATGCACACACGCACACACACGCTAATGGGTTTCTTAGCGTTTTTGAGGATAGCAGCAATTTCAGATCTAGAAACGTCTACCAGGATGTGAGAAATGTTAATTTCTGACATTAACATCACGAGACCCTGCCACTTCTTTATGACCCTTGGGCTACACCCATTTCAAACCTTTTAAAACAGTCTGAATCAGCAGCAGTCCACGCAAGAGAACCACCGCAATGTGGTCGCAACAGTGAGACACACAGCCCATCACACAGCAGCCAGAACCATCGATACATTGAGGCTAATGGAGCAGAGATGTCCATGTTAGTGAGACCCCAGCCCATTAATGCAGAGGCACCCAACAGGGCAATGCAACTCAGAGAGTCGGAGATAACAGCCAAACGGCAGGGAATAATGGATACACCACAGCAAGTTACGACTTTGCTTGGTTAATAACGTCCTTAGAATAATTGCTCAGCTTATACCCATCTTCTCAGTTGAAATGTTTATATATCTGGATGGCTTTATGGACAAATCTTTGATGGTAGCCCGAAGGTTTGCAGAGTACCTTGGTTTCGGAAAAAAAACAATATCGTGTGAGCCCACTGCGTTATAACAATGATCAGCCACGGCAGAGGTATTGGTTCTGCCGTGTTTCAAATCTGCCTTGTGTTCGCAAACACGGTCCGAGACGTCGTTTCGCTTCCCCAATGTAACTGCTGCCGCAGACACAACTTAGTTTGTAGACACCAGGGCATTGCATGTCAGGAATGACATCCTTCACAGATGGGATCAAATCGCGGATTTTGTGTACTGTATTGAATCGGACCTATATCTTGTGTTTAAGATTTTGGAAATCTTTTTGGTAATACCTGCTATGTATGGCAAGGTGATGGTTTTGATTGGGTCCTCAGATGGTTGTCACCCCATGGTTGGGGATACAGCTTTGCAGATTGTGCGGTCTGAGTATCCATTCATCTTGAGGGCTTGGTGTACGTGCTCCAGTCCACTGGCTAGGTAGCGCTGGTGGGAGATGCAGCGGGCCCTATGGTGTAGTGTTTTGATGAGGGAGTTATTTTGGGCCGGATAGTGGTGGGAATCAGGCTTTAGATAGGAATCCGTGTGGGTGGCTTTCCTGTAGACGGAAAGTCCCAACGAGCCATCTGGCCTCTTCTCGATCAAAACATCCAGGAATGGTAGCTTGCCATCATTTTCCACTTATATGGTGAATTTGATTGATGGCTGTATGGAATTGATGTGGTTGAAAAATTGGTTCAGTGCTGGCTGGCCATATGGCCAGATGACAAAAGTGTCATCTACGCATCTCTTCCACAGGGAAGGATGTAGCGTGGATGTCAGGATAGAATCTGTTTCAAATTTCTCCATGAAAACATTCGCTACCACTGGTGATAAGGGAGAACCCATAGGGGTATCTTCATTTAAGGTAAGGCAGTGCCTCACCAAAGTTGGTACATTAGGATTCAGTCCTTGTTGGACCAAGTCGTCAATGATTGCAATGGTGTCAGGTACAGGTATCTTGGTGAACAGAGAGACTACATCGAAGCTGACAAGCAAATCATCTGGAGACAGTGAAATGTCCTTGATTAGAGAAACCAAGTGAGCTAAGTACTGCTGAGGTGGTCTTGTCCGTGAATGGAAGAAGGGTCTCAAGATAGAAATCGGGCCAGTTTGTAGGTAGGTGAGTTGGTGGAAACGATAGGAGAGTGGAGTACCTTCTTTATGGATTTTTGGAAGGCCATAAAATCTGGGTAGTCTCCAGCCGAAGGTTTTAGATAGAGCTGCTTGGTCGGTTTGATTAGAGATGTCGAATTAGTGATATTGTTGGGTTTTTTTAGCCAGGCAGTTTGGTAGGATCTTTGTTGATTTTGGTATAACTGCCATCATTAAGGTCCTGAATTTTGTTGCATGTGGTTTAATCCATGACCGTGGCATTAGCCTTGTCGGCTGAAAGGATGACAATGTCATCTCTCTTTTTCAATTGAGCGAGTTCAGAGCGCTCGTCCCTGCTGATGTTACTAATGGCGACGATTTCAGATCTGGGATGTGACCCAAACCTTTGAGGGCCACGTTAACCTGGGAAATTATATTCACTGAGATGTGTTTGGGGGCGACTGCAAAATTCAGCCCTCTAGCTAGTGTAGAGTAGTATGGAGGCATGACGTCATACGCGCTGAGGTGCGATGACATCATGTCACCTGGGGGTACTTAAGGGGGGGCCCCGTGACGAAAGCGGGGTCGTTGTGGGAGCCCGGGATGGTGAGCGGTTGAAGAGAGCCGAAGAGACAGCCACGGGTAGTGCTCAAGAAGTGTGTAGAAGCCTGCTGTAGTTACGGGAGGTGCTGCTCTCCTCGGTCAGGCGGTGTTGGCTGAACCCCTGTCCTGACTCGAGTGTGAGAGCCCTTAGAGACAGCCCAGGCGAGCAGCAGATAGAGCCAAGGGTCCACGTGAAGGACCGAGTGTAGGACACCTACCCCTGGTGTTACTTACCACCTTCATTGTTAACCGTGTTGTCATTCACTACACGACACGTTAAAATGTGGTGAACAATGTGGGACATCGATGTGCACAAATATGAAAAAGATCGACAAGACGTCTTTCATTTATCGGTCTCTCCACGAAACAAAGGAATGTTTTACACAAACTATAAACAGCACAGCCTTCTGGGAGTGCATCGCTGATTCAGTACAAGCCACCAGTGGACCCTTATTGCTGGTTACGAACATCCAGCCATTAATCAACAAGGAGCATTTCTCGTCCTAGTTTTGACAAAATCAACGTCAACACGTAATATAAAATTATAATTCGTGTTGTAGAGAATGTATCTCCTCTACGTGATTTTTAAGCGGTATGCCTTGTAACAGATGAATGATCCGAGCGTGCTCCCTATTTCAAAGACGATGAGTTGCTCCAGAGACAAATGCTTCCCGAAACACAAAAAAATAACCCGTAAAAACAAAGTTTTTCACTCTAAATCCTTTATATGCGTGGCGGCTAGAGTCCTCTCGTCCTCTGGCTTGAGATGGCTGCCACCTATGGGTCAGATGATTGTCTGCCAGCATTAAGCAATTGGTAATAAAATATTTTTAAAAAATTTCCCTAAACAGTGTAAAATTTTGGAAAAAAATTATCACGAAAATTAATTGTCACGCACGAGTCTGTGTGCAAAATGTCAGCTCGATTGGATCACGGAAAGTGGGTTAAAAAACGACCGAAAGATTTGCACGGTCGTAAGCAAGCAAGCAAGCGAACTTAATATAAAGGATTTATAAATACCCTTTGATCTGTATCACAAGAACGGTTCTCACCTGAGTGATCTGTACAGATTACTTCCAAACACACACACTTTGTCCTAACATCACTTATTCAATGTTTGACCCTTATAAATAAAATGTTGCATGTACAAAAAATCAGTGTTCATTCTAAATTATTGACAGACATTTTACATTTTAACAAAATGTAATTACTGCAGTGAAATATAATGCACCAGGTTACAGGGAGTGGCTCTTCTTCTGAGCAAAATAATTGAAGGGGGTGTGGGAGCGTGGCGGTGAGGTGTGGGAAGCCGTAAGCCCCAGGCTACTTTGAGCTCGCCTTCCCATCAACCAGAGGCGAGGAGTGGCGGTCAAGGTTACTTGTGCCCCCACAAAAGATGATCATCTATTGTGGCGACAGGCCCAACTCTCATCGTATTAAGCTATTTTAAATAATTATGCACCGTCTGCTTAACAGTGGATGTAAAACATACTATTGTGTCATTCAAAACGAGTAGGCCATTGCATGCTTGCGTCTTGAGTCAAAATGTAGCAAATTCTAAACATTACCGACAATTCTAAATTTGAAGCTTTCGTGACTGCAGGGATTCATATTCTTAGGTTTTTTTCGGTAAAGTCACGTCGTGATATTTATTTTATTTTACTTTTATTAATTTTCATGTTTTACCTACGTGACTTTACCGAAAAAACCTACGAATATTACCGACAAATTACACAACTGAGATGAAACATCGTCGCCCCCCTACTGACAGGCTCTTGTTCACACACTCTTTGGTTCTTTAAGTAAAGTCATGTTGGTAGCAAAAATAATAGCTCACGAAGTTTCGATCGTAACACAGGGATCTACCCAACCCACGGGAAACACAAAGACTGGTCGCTCGCTCTTACTCTGCAGGTTGAACCCAGGAACTGAGTGTTCAACTTCACATTTTACAGGCAGGAACAATGTTCCACACTGCCCACCAGGGATTTATTGTCTGTCTGTCGTGCATAAATAAATATATAACATAAACAGCTCTTTGATTGGTGGAGACCTACTGCCGGGTACGGAGAGGGGAGGTGCCTAAGGGAGGAGGGTCAGGGGAGGGGCCTAAGGGAGGGGGGGGCGATAGTTAAGGGGGCTGGCTGCCTGGCTACCTAAAGTCACGTGATCTTGTATACACACAGGTCGAGGAACAACAGGTTCCACACTTGCCCACCAGGGATTATTTGTCTGTCTGTCGTGCACGAATGCGCTGTCCAACCAAGTTCCTACCTGCCCACTCCGAAGGAACGTGTTTTTCATTAAAGGCCTGTGAGAAAGGAGCATCTATTGGAGCGACGTCTCAAGCTGACACATCTACCGGGTCACCATTTGACTTTGTGTTGTCTCAGAGGAAGTCCACCCACACCTCCACCTCCACAAACTGCTGCGAGTTGCCTCGCTCTGCGTCACAGTCAGAATTCTCCTCCTGCTTCACGTTGCCTCTATCAATGTGAAGGTCCGATTTTGCAGTTGAATCTTCATCTTCACATTTTACCTTCACTTCTTCGCTCTTCACCATCACTTCTTCACATTTCACCTTCACCTCTTCATATTCCACCTTGATTTCTCTAAAAGTGTCCAAGCTGGGATTTTCTTCCGGTTCTTGTTTGATGACAGATGGGCTCATTGCAGCACTTAGACTTTCACAAGCTGATTTCAGACTCCACTCCTGGTGGATCTTCTGATGCTTGTGTGTTCTCTGGTGTACATGAAGATTTGATGACTGTGCAAACGCCTTCCCACACACAGTGCACTTGAAGGGTTTCTCTCCCGTGTGTGTTCTCTGGTGTACATGAAGATTTGATGACTGTGCAAACGCCTTCCCACACACAGTGCACTTGAAGGGTTTCTCTCCCGTGTGTGTTCTCTGGTGTTCTACAAGAGCAGATGAATGTGCAAACGCCTTCCCACACACACTGCATTTGAAGGGTTTCTCTCCCGTGTGTGTTCTCTGGTGTTTTACAAGAGTAGATGAATGTGCAAATGCCTTCCCACACGGAGTGCACCTGAAGGGTTTCTCTCCCGTGTGAGTTCTCTGGTGTATTACAAGATCAGATGACTGTGCAAACGCCCTCCCACACACACTGCACTTGAAGGGTTTCTCTCCCGTGTGAGTTCTCTGGTGTATTACAAGATTTGATGACTGTGCAAACGCCCTCCCACACACACTGCACTTGAAGGGTTTCTCTCCTGTGTGAGTTCTCTGGTGCCGTGCCAAATGTCCAGTATGATCCGTGCTGTATGCACACCGGTCGCATTGATGCCTTGTCGCACCGAGCTGCGCCGAGTGCCTTTGCTCCATCAGACCAATTCTGCAGAGGAAGCGACAGCTGCAGACAGAAAAAAAGAATATCCACACCATCTACACGTCAGTATTGAGGCACAGCGGAATGCATATATACACAGTCACACGTGACTTACACGTCTATACTTATTCATAGATATGCATGATATAGTGAAAAAGTTTACCAAGTTCATCACACGGGCTGTTATGGCACACAATGAGAGGGTGAATGGTCACAAACATGCCTGGAAGCCCTAGTATCTTCAAAATGAATGTTAACCCAAAGCTCTGAGCAAACAATTTCAGCTGTCTGGCTACAAAAGAAATATTTATGAAAGCTAAATTCGGCTGACATAGCAAAGGGTGTTGAAAACAATCCTATTTGTGTTATGCAGAAATGCGTAAATTAATACTGGTAGGAACCTCCTGGTTACACCAGCCCACAGGGGATTGTTGTGTCCGTCGTGAAGGGAGGGGCTGGGTGGAGAGGGTGGGGAGGGGCTGGGTGGGGCTGGGTGGGGGGTGGGAGGGGTGGGGCTGGGAGGGGTGGGGCTGGGTGGGGAGGGGCTGGTCACCCCGTGGTGCCCTTATAAAACTCAACGTTTCACCTACTCACGCCGGCTTGTGCCCGCCCTCACAGTCGGCATATTTGCGGAATACACCACGCCGCCGTTGACCCTGCAGGCCATTGACCGAGCAACCCAACGTTCCTACCAGCTCCCTCCGCAGCAGCAGGAATGTTGTTCAATCGCAACTTAGCGGTGTGAAGCCAGGCTCACATGTCCTTGAATGATGGGATGAACAGATCTGACGTCAGCTGCTGCACGTGTGTGTGCTGTGCTAACTTCCTGCTTCCACTCTTATAAAGAGTTCCAGAGGAAAACTAAAATAAACTATTGTTTTGTTACAACCTCCGTGTTCAACAGAGTTAATATACTTTACACTGTCACACACTGCCCGGTTTTCCCCTCCACATTCAGCGTCTTTGACAGACAGACATTGACACACGTAGTCTTGGTTCGTTCGGTAAAGTCACGTAGATAGGAAAATAAAAATAACAGATCATGAAATAAAATAAAATAAAGACCACTTGTGTTGCGATCGAAACGTCGTGGGTTTATTCTTTATTTGCAATTTTTAAATTTTATTTAACATTATTATCTGTTATTTTTTTTAATCTCCGTGACTTCACCGAAAGAACCAAGAATATGAATTGCTGCAGTTACGAAAGTTTTAAGTAAAAACACCGAGACACGCGTTGACACCCCCCCCCCCCCATACCTTGTGTTGTGGGCAGGTAGCTTCTGTAAACAAGAGCGGTACAGCAGCTCAGGCGGGCTTGGGCTGTAAAAAAACTGAAAAAAAAACTGCGTTAATATCTACAGTAAACCAAAGTGACAAAGTAGCGAGCCGCGTGAAGACAAATTAAACTTAAGGGAGGGAATTAAAGCAAACGCGACCAGGCGAGGGCAGGAGGCAAGGCCCCGCGTGTCTAGGCCCCGCGTTGTAAAGTTCCAACTTGGACATCGATTCACAAGCTGCTGCTGCTCTAGTGGCATCCCTACGAGAGAGAGCGAGGCTCTACCTTGGTAAACAACAACAACAACCACAACAACCACCACCACAACAACCACAACAACCGCGATGAGAATTTCTCACCTCGGATTTCACTGCACGCGCGAAGCTGCAGCTTATGACGTCACGCGGCAGCAGGTGACATGACGTCACTCCCGGGGTACAAGACATTCCCCTCCCACAACGAGTGGCGACTCTAAGTGACGTCATTAATACATTATGTTAATGTGTTGAGATCGAAACGTCGTGGGTTTTATGCTTTAATGAGTGACTTTACCGAAAAAGCCTAAGAGTATGAATCATTGCAGTCACAAAAGCTTCACATCTCGAACTCATCATGGATGTGGCTGAACGTCACCGTGTAGGAGCCCAGAGCGTGACACCTTCACGCGCTGGGCGAGTGGCGCATACTAAAATAATTATTTTATTATACATACTAAAATAATTATTTTATTACGTTTTATTTTTATTACGTAGAATGGAAATAATAAAATAAGCAAAATAAAACATGATTAAATAATTATTTTGTTATACATACTAAAATAAATATTTTATTATGTTTTCTTTTTATTACGTAGAATGGAAAAAATAAAATAATCAAAATAAAACATAACAAAATAATTATTTTATTATGTTTTATTGTTATTATTTTATTACTTCCCTTCTACGTGACTTTACCGAAAGAACCAAGAAGATGACACACACAGCTTGCACGATACCAACGACACTGGGACCCTCTCGATGCTACAGAGTGAACGGTGTAGTTTGTAGCGTGAGCTCGCCACTAAGCACACTGACCTCTGTTTAGGTTGCTGGATCGATATTCCCGCATCCTCCACGAGGAATATTTTTTTTAAATCAAATTATAAATGTAACGGCCCAGCGTTAATGTTGGTGACATGTTCACATTGGTGAACCGGCTTGACCTCGATTTTGCTGTTTTAAAGCCCCTTTAAGACGTTAGAGATGTGACGAGAAATAAAAAATATTTATAAAAATATTATCGCGCCTGGCAGGCAGCAGCGTTAACCATTACACCACAGACCCCACGTGAAGACCCCACGTGACCTTGAGAGGATGTCCGTTTGGTGATATTTGTACATTTCATGCTCATTGTGCTACACATCTCAAATGCACGTCCAGTACAAGGACAGACGGTGTGAAATGTCTTACTAACAACACAGAGCTCACTAACACACACAACTGCACGCTACTAAGAACTCTTGAGCCCTCTCGATGCCAAGGAGAGCACAGTGTAGTTGGTAGCGTGCGCACGCTACAAAATACACTGCACTTCTGTTGTTAAGGTAGCGGGTTCGATGCCCGCCTCCTCCACGGAGATTATTATTTTTTAATCAAATTTTAACTGTAGCGCCCCAGCGTTATTGTTGGTGACATGTGGCGTGCTCACGCTACCAACTACACTAAACTCTTGGTAGCATCTCCAGGGTCCTAGTGTAGTTACTAGTGTGCCAGTTGTGTGTGTTAGCGAGCTTTGTGTTGTTAGCAAGACATTTCACACAGCAAAATTGAGGTTAAGCTGGTTCACCAATGTGAACATGTCACCAACAATAACGCTGGGCCGTTACATTTATAATTTGATTTAAAAATAATATTCCTCGTGGAGGATGCGGGCATCGATCCAGCAACCTAAACAGAGGTCAGTGTGCTTAGTGGCGAGCTCACGCTACAAACTGCACTGTTCACTCCGTTGCATCGAGAGGGTCCCAGTGTCGTTGGTATCGTGCAAGCTGTGTGTGTCATCTTCTTGGTTCTTTCGGTAAAGTCACGTAGAATGGAAATAATAAAATAAAAAAAAACATTCTAAAATAATTATTTAAGTATGTAAAATTAAGCAAATATTTTATTATGTTTTATTTTGATTCTTTTATTATTTCCATTCTACGTAATAAAAATAAAACATAATAAAGTAATTATTTTATTAAGTTTTATTTTTATTATTTTTTATTTTTTTTATTTCCATTCTACGTAATAAAAATAAAACATAATAAAAAAGTTATTTTAGTATGTAAAAGAAAATAAAAATATTAATGTTTCTTTTGATTATTTTATTATGTCCATTCTACATAATAAAAATAAAGTATAATAAAATAATTATTTTATTATGTTAAAATTGTATTATTTCCATTCTACGTTATGAAAAGAAAAATAATAAAATAAAAAATTTCCATTCTACGTGACTTTACCGAAAGAACCAAGAAGATGAATCCCTGCAGTCACGAAAGCTTTAAATCGAAGTTGTGTGTGTTAGTGAGCTCTGTGTTGTCAGTAAGACATTTCACACCGTATATCCTTGTACTGGACGTGCATTTGAGATGTGTTCACTTCTCTTTTCTCGAGCGCGCTACCATCTGAGCCAATAATAAAATTAAAACATAATAAAATAATAATTATATTATGCATAATATAATAATTATTATACATAATAAAATAATCATTATATATAATAAAATAATTATTTTATTATGTATAATGATTATTTTATTATGCTTTATTTTGTATTATTTCATTATTTCCATTCTACGTGACTTTACCGAAAGAACCAAGAAGATGACACACACAGCTTGCACGCTACTAACGACACTAGGACCATCTCGATGCAACGGAGAGATCAGCGTACCTGGTAGCGTGAGCACGCCACTAAGTATCCTGGCCTCTCTGATGTTTAGGTCGCCGGATCGATCCCCCCATTCTACACGGGGAATATTTTTTTTAAATCAAATTTTAAATGTAACGCCCCATCGTTATTGTTCGTGACATGTTCACATTGGTGAACCAGCTTGACGTCTCGTCGCCCTCGATTTTTGATGCGGATTTGCAGTTTAATAAACCCGCATCTTAGTTGATGTAAAAGTGCGGCGCGAGTTGCTCGCTGCGCTGAAGACTCCCGCCTCTGGGCGGCAGGCGGCGCTCGTGAGAACGCGAGAGGCGCCAGCTGAGAGCTGCACCCCGAGGAAGCCTCTTGGCGGCTTGTTGTTGTTGTCGCACTGAAACACGTTCATCACCTTCAGCGCAACGGGGTCTCTGCTCGTGAATGGAAACACGGAGTTTCCTTTTTGAAAACTATTGTTTGCGTGGAGGATGCGGGGATCGAACCCGCGACCTCCCGCGCGCTGAACGAGCAGCGCCCCCATCTCAGCTGCTGCCCCAGACACGAGGAGTGGAGCGAGATTTCGGTAAAATCACGTGGAAAGAAAATAGATTTGATGATAAAAAATATTATTAAACTCTTTAATTCCTGCAGTCATCAACTCAGATGGTGAAGCGCTCGCTTATTGAATAAAAAAAATATTTATAAAAAATATATCGAGACAAGGCAGGAGTTGAACCCACAACCTTGTAGCCCGCAGGCAGCCGCGTTAACCATTACGCCACAGAGCCTGTCTCTAAGATGCGGGTTCTTACTTTGATGCAAAGTCATCACAGATTATTAATGAAAATAATAGAATAATCAAAATGAAACATAATAAATTAATTATTTTATTATGTTTTATTTATATTACGTAGAATGGAAAAATTAAATAATCTAAATAAAACATAACAAAATATTTATTTTATTATACATACAAAAATACATATTTTATTACTTTATTATTTCCATTCTACGTGACTTTACCGAAAGAACCAAGAAGATGACACACACAGCTTGCACGATACCAACGACACTAGGACCCTGTCGATGTTACGGAGAGATCAGTGTACCTGGTAGCGTGAGCACGCTACTAAGTACACTGATCTCCGTTTAGGTCGCTGCATCGATGCCAGCATCCTCCACGGGGAATATTTTTTTAAATCAAATTTTAAATGTAACGCGCCAGCGTTATTGTTGGTGACATGTTCACATTGGTGAACCAGCTTGACGTCTCGTCGCCCTCAATTTTGCTGTTTTGAAGCCCCTGTTAAGGCGAATGAGATGTGACGAGAAATAAAAAATATTTATAAAAAATATTATCGGGCCTGGCAGGAGTCGAACCCACAACCTTCTAGTCCGCAGGCAGCCGCGTTAACCATTACACCACAGAGCCCACGTGACGCTCAGCCTCCGAGGGGACCTTGAGATGACGCTCCCCACGTCGCTCGCTTCGCGTGCGAGAGGCGGCGAGTTCGATAGCCAGCACAAGAGAAGTGACCTCATCTCAAATGCACGTCCAGTACAAGGACAGACGGTGTGAAATGTCCTACTAGCAACACAGAGCTCGCTAACACACACGACTGGCACACTAGTAACTACACTAGGACCCCTCGCGATGTTAGGGAGAGTTCAGTGTACCTGGTAGCGTGAGCGCGCTAACAGTTGCACTGATCTCTGATGTTTATGACGCTGGTTCGATCCCCGCATTCTCCACGGGGAATATTATTTTTAAATCAAATTTTAAATGTAACGCGCCAGCGTTATTGTTGGTGACATGTTCACATTGGTGAACCAGCTTGACGTCTCGTCGCCCTCGATTTTTGCTGCGGATTTGCAGTGTAAGAAAACCGAATGTTTGTTGCTGTAAAAGTGCGGCGCGAGTTGCTCGCTGCGCTGAAGACTCCCGCCTCTGGGCGGCAGGCGGCGCTCGTGAGAACGCGAGAGGCGTTCACACGAGCGCCGCTCTGCGGTGTAATGGTCAACGCGGCTGCCTGCGGAGTAAAAGGTTGTGGGTTCAATCAACAAAGATTAGTTTTTTTAAAACTGCAAATCCTCATCATAAATCGAGGGCGACGAGACGTCAAGATGGGTCACCAATGTGAACATGTCACCAACAATAACGCTGGGGCGCGACAGTTAAAATTTGCTTTTAAAAAATTCTATTCTCCGTGGAGGATGCGGGAATCGATCCGGCGACCTTAACGGAGTGCTCAGTATAATGAGCAGCGTGCTCTCGCTACCAACTACGCTGATCACTCCGTAGCATCGAGAGGGTCCTAGTGAAGTTGGTAGCGTGCAAGTTGTGTGTGTTAGCGAGCTCTGTGTTGTCAGTAAGACATTTCACACCGAATATCCTTGTACTGGACGTGCATTTGAGATGTGTTCACTTCTCTTTTCTCGAGCGCGCTACCTTCTGAGCCAATAAAAAAAGTAAAAATAATAAAATAATTATTTTATTATACATAATAAATTATTATGTATAATATAATAATTATTTTATTATACATAATAAAATAATTATTATACGTAATAAAATAATTATTTCATTATGTATAATAAAAGATATATTTTATTAAGTTTTATTTTTATTATAAAACATAATAAAATAATTATTTTAATATGTATAATAAAATAATTATTTTTAAAAGAATTAAAATAAATATTTAATATTTTATTTTTATTATAAAACTTAATAAAACAAAAATTTTATTCTACATACTAAAATCATTATTTTATGTTTTATTTTTATTATTTTATTATTTCCATTCTACGTGACTTTACCGAAAGAACCAACAAGATGACACACAGCTTGCACGATACCAACAACACTGGGACCCTCACGATGCTACGGAGTGAACGGTGCAGTTGGTAGCGTGAGCTCGCCACTAAGCGCACTGACCTCTGTTTAGGTAGCTGGATCGATGCCAGCATCCTCCACGAGGATTATATTTTTTTAAATCAAATTATAAATGGAACGCCCCAGCGTTATTGTTGGTGACATGTTCACATTGGTGAACCAGCTTGACGTCTCGTCGCCCTCAATTTTGCTGTTTTAAAGCCCCTTTAAGACTTTAGAGATGTGACGAGAAATAAAAAAATATTTATAAAAAATATCCATATCGAGCCTGGCAGGATTCGAACCTACAACCTTCTTATCCGCAGGCAGCCGCGTTAACCATTACACCACAGACCCCACGTGACTCTCACATCCTTCGAGGGGACCTTGAGAGATGTGGCGGGTTCGATGCCCGCATCCTGCACAGGCGAATATTATTTTTGACATTTATTCAGCACAGAGCTCGCTAACACACACAACTTGCACGCTACCAACCTCACTAGGACCCTCGCGAGGCTACGGAGTGATCAGCGTAGTTGGTAGCGTGAGCACGCTGCTCATTATACTGAGCACTCCGTTAAGGTAGCCGGATCGATGCCCACATCCTCCACGGGGAATATTTTTTTAAAATAAAATTATAAATGTAACGCCCCAGCGTTATTGTTGGTGACATGTTCACATTGGTGAACCAGCTTGACCTCTTGTCACCCTCGATTTTTGATACAAACTCCAAATATAGAGCAGCAGCAGGCGTCAGGGTCGGGATCGAACCCACGACCTCCTGTGTACCAGGCGAGGTAGTCAACATCTCCTATCCACCGTGATGATGATGATGAGAGAGAGACACGCAAACTCCAAATATACTTCACTACAACACTGCAGGAGAATTGTTCGCTAGGCAGGTGATCACCACCAACTTTCACTATCGGGGTTGACGCATTTTAACCCCCCCACCCCCCACCGCTCACCTGGCCCCTCCCCCCCACCCCCCACCGCTCACCTGGCCCCTCCCCTCCACCCCCCACCGCTCACCTGGCCCCTCCCTTCCACCCCCCACCGCTCACCTGGCCCCTCCCCTCCACCCCCCACCGCTCACCTGGCCCCTCCCTTCCACCCCCCACCGCTCACCTGGCCCCTCCCCTCCACCCTCCACCGCTCACCTGGCCCCTCCCCTCCACCCCCCACCGCTCACCTGGCCCCTCCCCTCCACCCCCCACCCTCCATGCCCCCCCCCCACAAACCCCCCCTGCCCACCCCCGTCACAGCCAGGCGAGCTCCCTGATTGGTCTTCGGTGACGTCACCAAACCGCCAACTCCAACCGCCACCCGCCTGTTGCGACGGGTTCAGTAGCCACGCCCCCATCTCTAGACGTATGGGCCGCCTCATTAACATAATTTATTCAGTTCGGGGGTTCGCTCCTTGTGGGAGGAGCGTGGCTTGTAACCCGACAGTGACGTCATGTCACCTACTACCGCGTGACGTCACGGGGTAACAGGAAACTGTCACTCTGCGCGTGCAGTGAAATCCGAGGTGAGAATTTCTCATCGTTGTGATGGTTGTTGTTGTTGTGGTGGTTGTGGTTGTTGTTGTTGTTTACCAAGGTAGAGCCTCGCTCTCTCTCTCGTAGGGACGTCACTAGAGCAGCAGCAGCTTGTGAATCCATGTCCAGCTTGGAGCTTGACTACGCGGGGCCTAGACACGCGAGGCCTTGCCTCCTGCCCTCGCCTGATTGCGTTTGCTTCAATTCTCTCGCTAAAGTTTAATTTGTCTTCACGCGGCTCGCTACTTTGTCACTTTGGTTTATTGTAGATATTAACGCAGTTTTTTTTTTCGTTTTTTTTACCAGGCCAAGTCCGCTTGACCCTCGGCTGTGTTGATTGATCCTCCATTCTTTACTTGGTGGAGTGACGCAGCGTTAATGTCACTGGTAGGAACCGCCTGGTTCCACCAGCCCACAGGGGATTGTTGTGTCCGTCCGTCGTGCTTCCAGAAATGGGAGGGGTGGGGCTGGGTGGAGAAGGGAGGGTGAGGAGGGGCTGGGTGGGGAGGATGGGGCTGGGTGGGGGAGGGATAGGGCTGGGTGGGAGGGGTGGGGAGGGGCTGGGTGGAGAGGGGCTGGGTGGGGAGGGTGGGGCTGGGTGGGGGGTGGGAGGGGCTGGGTGGGGCTGGGTGGGGGCTGGGTGGGGAGGGGCTGGGTGGGAGGGGTGGGGAGGGGCTGGGTGGAGAGGGGAGGGTGGGGAGGGGCTGGGTGGGGAGGGTGGGGCTGGGTGGGGGGTGGGAGGGGCTGGGTGGGGCTGGGTGGGGGGTGGGAGGGGTGGGGCTGGGTGGGAGGGGTGGGGAGGGGCTGGGTGGAGAGGGGAGGGTGGGGAGGGGCTGGGTGGGGAGGGTGGGGCTGGGTGGGGAGGGGAGGGTGGGGCTGGGTGGGGGGTGGGAGGGGTGGGGCTGGGTGGGGAGGGGCTGGGTGGGGAGGGTGGGGCTGGGTGGGGTGGGGCTGGGTGGGGAGGGGCTGGGTGGGGAGGGTGGAGAGGGGCTGGGTGGTGGGTGGGAGGGGTTGGGCTGGGTTGGGAGGGGCTGGTCACCCCGTGGTGCCCTTATTAAACTCAACGTTTAACCTTCTCACGACGGCTTGTGCCCGCCCTCACAGTCGGGCATATTTGCGGAATACACCACGCCGCCGTTGACCCTGCAGGCCATTGACCGAGCAACCCAACATGTTCCTAGCAGCTCCCTTCGCAGCAGCAGGAATGTGTTGTTCAGTGGCAACTTAGAGGTGTGAAGCCAGGCTCAGATGTCCTTGAAAGATGGGATGGTCAGATCTGACGTCAGCTGCTGCACGTGTGTGCTATGTGCCACCTAGCCCCTCCCCACCCAGCCCCACCCCTCCCACCCACCACCCAGCCCCACCCAGCCCCTCTCCACCCAGCCCCTACCTTCACGACGGACGCAATAATCCCCTGTGGGCTGGTGTAACCAGGAGGTTCCTACCAGTATTAATTTACGCATTTCTGCATAACACAAATAGGATTGTTTCCAACATCCTTTGCTATGTCAGCCGAATTTATCTCTCATAAATATTTCTTTTGTAGCCAGACAGCCAAAATTGTGTGCTCGGAGTTTTGGGTTCACATTCATTAAGAAGATACGAGGGCTTCCAGGCATATTTATGACCATTCACCCTCTCATTGTGTGCCATAACAGCCCGTGTGATGAATTTGGGAAACTTTTTCACTGCATCATAAATATATGAATAAGTATAGACGTGTAAGACACGTGTGACTGTGTATATGCATTCATCTTTGTCTCGATACTGACGTGTAGATGGTGTGGATATTCTTTTTCTGTCTGCAGCTGTCGCTTCCTCTGCAGAATTGGTCTGATGGAGCAAAAGCACTCGGCGCAGCTCGGTGCGACAAGGCATCAATGCGACCGGTGTGCATACAGCACGGATCATCTTGGACATTTGACACGGCACCAGAGAACTCACACAGGAGAGAAACCCTTCAAGTGCAGTGTGTGTGGGAAGGCGTTTGCAAAGTCATCTACTCTTGTAACACACCAGAGAACACACACGGGAGAGAAACCCTTCAAGTGCAGTGTGTGTGGGAAGACGTTTGCAAAGTCATCTACTCTTGTAACACACCAGAGAACACACACGGGAGAGAGACCCTTCAAGTGCAGTGTGTGTGGGAAGGCGTTTGCACTTTCATCTACTCTTGTAAAACACCAGAGAACACACACGGGAGAGAAACCCTTCAAGTGCAGTGTGTGTGGGAAGGCGTTTGCACTTTCATCTACTCTTGTAACACACCAGAGAACACACACGGGAGAGAAACCCTTCAAGTGCAGTGTGTGTGGGAAAGCGTTTGCAAAGTCATCTACTCTTGTAAAACACAAAAGAACACACACGGGAGAGAACCCCTTCAAGTGCAGTGTGTGTGGGAAGGCGTTTACACATTCATCTACTCTTGTAACACACCAGAGAACACACACGGGAGAGAAACCCTTCAAGTGCAGTGTGTGCGGGATATCGTTTGCACAGTCAGCACATCTTCAAAGACACCAGAGAACACACACGGGAGAGAAACCCTTTAAGTGCAGTGTGTGCGGGATAACGTTTGCACAGTCAGCACATCTTCAAAAACACCAGAGAACACACAAGATCCACCAGGAGTGGAGTGAAATCAGCTTGTGAAAGTCAAAGTGCTGCAATGAGGCCATCCCTCATGAAACAAGAACCGGACGACAATCCCAGCTTGGACACTTTGAAAGGTATCGAGGTGAAATGTGAAGAGGTGAAGGTGAAATGTGAAGAAGTGATGGTGAAGAGCGAAGAAGTGAAGGTAAAATGTGAAGATGAAGATTCAACTCCCAAATGTGACCTTCACATGGATGGAGGCAACGTGAAGCAGGAGGAGAATTCTGACTGTGAGGCAGAGCGAGGCAACTCCCAGCAGTTTGTGGAAGTGGAGGTGTGGGTGGACTTCCTCCGAGACAATACAAAGTCAAATGGAGACCCGGTAGATGTTTAAACCAGTGACGATGCCGCTCCAATAGATGCACCCTTGTCACAGGCTTTGAATGACAAGAATGTGAAGTTGAACACTCAATTCCTAGGTGCAACCTGCAGGGTAAGAGCGAGTGGCCAGTCTTTGTGGACCTGTGTGTTGGTAGATCTCTGACCAGGCGCGAGAGCCAACAAGCCCCCAAGCATTCACGATGTTCTCATAATAATTGATGTTACATGGCGTTTGCTGAGTTTTGTATCGTACCTCGTCTCAAACACTCTAAGAGCACCCCAAGTGGCAGCTGCCCCTGTGTGGCACACGGTGGTGGCCCTGCACCGGCCTGCGTGTGGACAAGAGCCTGTCGGTGGGGGGCGATGGTTGATGTGGCATCTCAGCTGTGTCGTTAGTAGGTAATGTTTAGAATTTGCTACATTTTGACCCAGACGCCAACATGCAATAGCCTACTCGTTTTGAATGACACAATTGTATGTTTCACATCCACTGTTCAGTAGAGGGTGCATTCTTTAAATAGCTCCTTGTTAATAAGATGTTATCTAAACTAAATTGTTCAATTTTGGAAGAACGTAATCAACCAGGTAGGGTGTTGACTGTTGTGTTGGCTGACTCTGTGTTGTGTTGCATTATATTTCTAAGTTCACTATGTTTGTTTTCTCATTCACTTGTTGCACCTGATGATGGTTGCTTGTGTTCCAATCGAAACGTCGTATTCTATTATTTAATTTCTTTCTCCGTGACTTTACCGATGCAGTAAGTTTCACTGCAGTAATTCAATTTTGTCAATATGCCTGTCAGTAGTTTAGAATGAATACTTGTCTGATTGTGCGCGTACATTGAACATTTTGTCTGAGGGTCAAACATCGAATAAGTGATGTTGGGGCAAAGTGTGTGTTTGTGTTTGTAAGTAGCCTGTAGAGATAACTCAGGTGAGACCCGTTATTCTTGTGATACAGGTCAAAGGGTACTTTTGTGTTTGAAGGAAGTATCTGCCTCTGGAGTAGGGAGCATGAAATAGGGAGCACGCTCGGATCATCCGTCAGTTACAAGGCATACCGCTTAAACGTTACACGTAGAGGAGATACATTCTCTACAACACGAATTATAATTTTGTATTACGTGTTGACAGACTTTGTCAAACTAGGACGAGAAATGTTCCTTGTTTAATTCACATCTGGAGGTTCATAACCGTGGGTTGAAGCAAGCCCGGCTGCTGTTGAGATGCTGTCCACCAATAAGGGTCCATAGGGGGCTTGCACTGAATCAATAATGCACTCCCAGAAGGCCGTGATGGTTATAGTTTAAAACATTCCTTTGTTTCGTGGAGAGATCGATAAATGAAATATATAAAGTCTGAATTCTTTCATAGCAAAGAGGTAATTTTAAGAGCACATTTAAAATGCATTTTTTTTACAATTTTGTATGCAGTTACAAGGCAGAGCACATTGAGTAGATACATTCTACCCAACGCTAATTAGGATTTTGTATGACGTCTTATGTTGGTGAACTAGGACGAGAAATGTTCCTTGCTGATTAACGTCTGTATGTTGACAACCGTGGGTAGAAGCGAGCCCTGACTGCTGTTGAGACATCGTGCACAAGAACCGGTCCACAGCTGCCTCGCACTGAGTCACTGCTGCACTAGTCATGGACTCGCACAAGGCCGTGGGATTTATATTTTGTGTGAAACGTTCCTTTGTTTCGTGGAGAGACCAATAAATGAAAGACGTCTTGTCTGCTGATCTTGTTCATATCTGTGTACATCGATGTTCCACATTGCTTACACTACACACCACACGCAGTGAAATAGAAACTAGAACGACTTGCGGGGATGTGCAAAGATCGATGAATCTCTGTCAATGGAGCGAGTTGAGTGTGTTCGATTCCACGTCTCTGTCTGTCTGTGTCTCTGTTCGCCTCTGTGTGTGTCTCTCTGCCTGTGTCTCTCTGTCCACGTCGTCTCTGTACCTGTCTCTGTGTTGCTCTTGTCTGTGTCTGTCCGCCTGTCTGTCTGTGTGTCTATCAGCGTCTGTCCTACCGGAGTCAACGACTGTCAGTAGCAGCAGGTGCCCGTTCAACTCCCACGACTACACGCCACTCAAACTTGCTCCCAACACACAGACAAAGATCCCCCGTGTAGCCTGAACACAATGTTGGGGCAAGTGCTACTAGCGAGCACCCCTCACACAAAGACAAAATATCCCCTGTATAGCCTGCACAGACTGTAGGGGCAAGTGCTGTTAGCGAGCACCTATGAAGGCCGACACGGCACACGAGGGGTGGGTGGGGGGGTAGCCAGCAAGCGCGCGCGACCACCTTTGTCTCCCCAGTGACGGTGTTTACACAGCGCACCAGGTACTCATTTGAGGCTGAGTCGACCTAGTACCGGTTCAAATCATCGCCACCGTGAGCGGGAATCGAACTCGGGTCGCCGGGTCTTATAGCGCGGCGCGCTAACCGCTGCACCACCGCTCCTCGTGGAGGCCGTCTCTCCCACGCACGCCCACACATCTATTAGCAGCGCCGTCATCAAGGGAGCCGTGGGGGGCATGCCGGAGTACACTACTCATAGTGGGGGGGGGGCTGGGTGAGAAATAGAAAGGGGGGGGGGGGGTCGCAGTATCTGAGTCCACACAGCCGGCCACGCAAACCATCATCCCACGCCTCCTCCTCGTCAAGACGGCAAAGATGGGGGAGGGGGTGGGAACGACAACTTGTGAGGGCTGGTTTATCTCTCAATGTTCACGCCGGATCATTCTGCTTGTTTCGCGCGAAGTCATCGTGTTGTGTTTATGGCTCTTTGCGGAGGCGAATTAAAGTTCGATCTTCTTGTGCAGCGCCCTTCAGTACGGTGCGGTATTGCTTGACGGATATCGATGTGTCTTTTTAAATCCTTTATATTAAGTTCGCATGCTTGCTTGCGTGCGTGCTTGCTTGCTTACGACCGTACAAATCTTTCGGTCGTTTTTTAACCCACTTCCCGTGATCCAATCGAGCTGACATTTTGCACACAGACTCGTTGTGCGTGACAATTAATGTTCGTGAAATTTTTTTTCCAAAATTTTACACTGTTTAGGGAAAACAAATTAAATATTTAATTACCAATTGTTTAATACTGCAGACAATCATCTGACCCATAGGTGGCAGCCATCTCAAGCCAGAGGACGAGAGGACTCTAGCCGCCACGCATATAAAGGATTTAGAGTGAATAACTTTGTTTTTATGGGTTATACTTATTAATAAACGAGACGACGCGTTGTCTCGTACAATTAAGGATTTCAACCCGAGTTTAATTGCGAGCCGGAGTTTTGGGGGCCAGGGCTCCGGAAAATATCTCCTGCCTGGTTATCCAGGCGAAGAGTGAAGGGGGGGGGGATTCCATATTCCATTAGAAGTTAAACGAAAGGACTAACCGATAATCGATTATTATCGATTATCAAGCTAGTGATAATTGAAGTACAAACGTGCACATAATCGATGCTTTTCGATTCGACATTCGTGTTGTATGAATCAGGATTATCCAGCAGCCATGACAGGTCTCTGTATATGCAACGATGTTAAAATCATCGATTTTTTAAACACACTCTCATCGATAATCAGAATCACTAACAGGGGTCATTGCACGAAACGTCGTCGTCTCGTATGTTGTTTTCATCTTCATGGCAGTGTTGTCGATTTTTTTTTCGTTTGAAGGGAGGGGGAGGGGGTGGTGTCATCATTGTCAAGGATGACAGTGGCGGGGGGAGGGGGCGGGGGGAGGGTGGGGGGGCAGTGGGTGTCTGCGAGCTCCTATTAAGGCCGGAGCATCGCACTCCACGGAGGGATGCGAGTCAGTGTCGTGGCACGTGTATAGTCGCACGATTGTGACGCACGCACGCACGCACTCACCGTGCTAGAGTCATCAGTTTAGGCCGAGTGGACCTAGGGGACGCCCACGTCAGGACGGCCGGAATGTTGAACGCGTGCGCGTCTCTGGGATGGTGGCGCTCAGGAGCGCGACGTGCGGCCGTGTGCGAGGCTGTTCGTGTACCCGTCTGTGTGTCGTGACGGGGAGCGGTGGTGCAGCGGTTAGCGCGTTGTGCTACGAACCCGGCGACCCGGGTTCGATTCCCTCTCACGGACAAACACCGGTGACGATTATCTGAAACGGTCCTGGGCCTCCCCTAGGTCGACTCAGACTCAAATGAGTACTTGGTGCGATGTGTAAACATCGCCACTGAGGAGACAGGTGGCTGGTCGTGATGTTGGCCACTCGCCCCCCTCGTGTGCCACAGTGCCGGCCTTCATAGGTGCTACTCGCTAACAGCACTTGCCCCTACAGCCCGTTAAGCCTTTACGGGGCGCTTTGTATGCCCGTGTACCTGCGTTTACGCATGTGCGCTCGTACGTTCGCACGTACGTGTGTACGTATGCGCGGACACAAATGTATGCGTGGATGTACTTGTGTATGTGCCACGTACGTGTGCGTCTATAAATATGCATACGTACACGTACGCGCATTTATGTGCATATCAGAACGCAGGTTTGCGTGCGTATTTACCTCTGTGTGTAGTTTATAGAGACGCACGCGTTTCGAGCGTTTCGAGCCAGCCTCAAACGAGAACCTGGTGCGGTGTGTCAACATCGGTCAGCAGCTTGCAGGCTTAACAGCAACTTGCCCCTACAGCCTGTCGAAGCCTACACGGGGA